GCCCAGCTGATTTTTTGATTTATTGTAGAGATGAGGTCTCGCTGCCCAGGCGGGTCTCGAACCCGCGGGCTCAGGCAATTCACTCACCTCAGCCTCCCAAAGGCGCGGGATTACAGGCTGAGCCACCGAGCCCGGCTGATTTTTTTATTTATTGTAGAGATGAGGTCTCGCTGCCCAGGCGGGTCTCGAACCCACTGGCTCAGGCAATCCACTCACCTCAGCCTCCCAAAGGCACGGGATTACAGGCTGAGCCACCGAGCCTGGCTAACAGTCTTCTCTAAGGACCCTATTGGTCCCTGGGGGAAGAGTCCAGAAGGGAGGAGTGAGTTCTGGTTTGGTGGCTGACTTCCTTGGATTCCTGCCTGCATGACTTGACCTAGGCCTCAGTTTTTTCAGACATCTACAAAATGAGCCTGGATGACTTAATTCTAAGGGCCCAGCCCTCACGAGATGCCTTAGGATTCTGGGATTTCCCCCACCCTTGAAATGGTAGTCCTGCCTATCTGCTTTCCTGCCTCTCGGGGTAGGTTGGGAACAAGAAGCACAGCAAAAGTCCTGGCTCGTTCCTGCCTCTTTGGGATCCCTAGCCTGGGGAGAGTGAGACTCCAGATGCAAAGAACCCTCAGGCAGAGATGAGATGTTTGCCCTGCAGCCTGGACCCCACCTCTGCTGAGTCAGGGCCTGTCCCACCCAAGTCAGTGACACTTCCTCTTACAGGCCTGACTGTGGAGGGTGGAGATAGCCTGGAGGGTGGAGATAGCCTGTCTTGCTTTCACTAGGGCTTTGGGGAGGTAGGTTTCCCATTTGTGAAATGGAGTAAAATTAAGTCCACCGCCAGGAGTAGTGGCTCAAACCTGTAATCCCAGCACTTTGGGAGGTGGAAGTGAGAGGACTGCCTGAACTCAGGGGTTCAAGACCAGCTTGAGAAACATGGCGAGTCCTTGTCTCTACAATGAATCGAAAAACTAGCCAGGCATGGTGGCACATGCCTGTGATTCCAGCTACTCGGAAGGCTGAGGCGGAAGGATCGCCTGAGCCCAGCAGGTCAAGGATAAGATGGCTGTGAGCATGCCACTGCACTCCAGCCCCGGTGACAGTGAGATTCCAACTCAAAAAAATAAAAATAAAAACTAAGTCCATAGCACCGCCAAGACTTCTGAGATGTGCAGGAGATGCAGGGCGGATGGGGCACTCTCCCTTGTGGACTAACAGGCCTGGGGCCAGCTGGGACTGGAAAGGCAGGCACTAGAGCACCAAGTGCTGAGTGCGTGAAAGCCAAGTGGCCTGGCAAGGCCAGGGGAGGCAAGAGCACAGCCACTGGTTTCTCCGGCTGCTCCTCCACTTGCCACCTCAGCCCAGGGTGTGCGTCTGGAGAGAGATGGACCAGATGGACCGTCGTGGGCCCCAGACTAAATGCCAGAGGTGGAAAGTGGGCCACACACCCTTTCAAAGTCAGGTGGCTTCTGCCCTGCCCACCAGGTGCCAAAGGGCCCACAGGACCAAGACTTCTGGTAACAGCTACAAGAGAGGGAGGAGACACCAAGGTTGAGCTTGCTTTATGGGTGACATTGTGGGCTGGGCTGGGAGGCAGAATGAAGATTCGGGCTGAACTTTGCATGGGATCAAGGGCTGAGGATCCTGGCTGGTACCACGCCTCCCACACTGTCAAATGTCAACTCCACCAGCACTGAGACAATGGGGAGATAATGTAGGGAAGGGGGTGATAATGTGGGGAGAAGGGAGGTGGTGGAAAAGGAACAGAAGGAAAAGGGGGAAAGAGGGAAGGGGAGGGAGAAAAAGGGATGGAGGGCCCGGCCGGAGCTACAGCCACGGCCAGAGGTGATCAGGTCAGCAGCAGGAGAGACTCAAAAGGGAGCCTCTTGGGAAGTACAGGCAGCCATGAGGGCCCGTTTCAGCTGCTCATAGGTGACGAACATCACCACGTTCCAGGAACCCAAGCGGAGAAAGGAGGGCATGAACCTAGGGGAGAGAAAACACAGGTCACAGGGGCACCGCCTCCCTCACTGAGCCTGGCATCCAATCCAACCCAGCTGCTCTGTCCCAAAGAAGGCTGGGAGACTTAATGAACTGAGCCTCACAGCTGTGTGGCGATGAGCAAGAACCCTCCCTGAGTCTCCATTTAGCACCCACAAAATAGCGATAGCAGCAACTCTGGAAGGAATTAAGAGTGAATGCTGGTGAAGGACCAGGACCAGGACCAGGACCACAAATAGTCTCAGCTTGGTTGCTACTCACTTCCAGGTAGTCCTCTCCCACTTGCAGGATGGGCCTGGAATTGGGTGGGGTGGATGAGAAGCTCACCCTTTGTAGAAGGCCTGGGGCCCCTCCTTCTGGAGCATGGTAATGGCACAGTGGCCAGCGCTGCTGTACTGGCCCAGGGCAGAGTTCATATATCTCGTCTTGACCACATCGACAGGGGAGGCGATGACGGTGGTGCAGAAGCCCGCCCCGAAGGCAGAAGTGAAGTGGCAAGGGAGGTCATCTGCCAAGAAGGAACAGGCACGGCAGTCAGGCTCCTCACTCATCATCCCAGAAGGGAAGTACTTAAGTAGCTAAGAGTTCTCATGGTTTTAAAGATTCAGAGACTCAGTTGGGACCTTAGCTGGGACCTTTTCTGGGGGCCTAAGAGTCATTTTGCCAATCTAGCCTCAGTTCCTCAACATGCAGAGTGGGCGCTTCATTCCAGCTGGCTTCAACATGGCAGGTAAGAGGTATGATCTCACTCTATGCGAAGGGCAAACAGGATGAAAAGACGGAGTCTTCAGGTGTCAAGGAGACTCCCACACCTGCTCCTGGGTTGGGGAAAGGGCAAGACCCAGCACCATCTACCCCAATTCACCCGTCATGAGGTTGGCTTTCAGGAGGGTGTCCTTGATGAGGTCATAGGTCACCAGCTCAGCACAGTTGACAATGGCATTACGAGCAATATTGGGAGAGGTCCCTATAGGAGGAAGGAGAGCCTGTGTGAGACCAGGAAACAGGGGAGGAAGAAAATGGGACAGGAAAACAACTGGTATACACACCCTTCCAGAGTCCCCGGAACCCTTCCTCTCGGGCGATGGTCTTGTAGGCATCGACAGTGCTTTGGTATCTCCGACCACCTACAGCCCGGGCCTGAGCTTGAAACCGGACCTTCACCACATCTGTGGGCTGGGCCACAGCCACAGCCAGGGCACCTGTGGTGCTGCCTGCTAGGAGGCGGCTCCCGATGCTGGCATCTGTGGGCAAACCATGGAGGCCAGTGGTCAGCTGGTTCATACTTGTTTTCTACCTCATCCCTCCTCACCAAAACCACGTCACTGTCCTTTCCTGCTTTTGGGAATAAGATCCAGACAAACTCTCACTCCTAGAACTCCTCACAGCAAACAAAATATCATTGTGAATGTCTACTACTTGCTAGGGACAAAAGCAAGGAATAACAACAAATGGAGAAAGTGCTTCTTTCATAAAGCACTTTCATTTAACTCGCTCAACAGGCCTGCAAAATCAGAACCATTCCCATTTGACAAACGTGAAAGCCAAGGCTCAGAAAGAAGTGGCTTTCTGATGGACTGGGACTCCTAAGGCTTGGGTTCTCATCCTGGATCTGCTTCTCCCTGCCATGTGCTCTTGGGAAAGTCAAACTTTTTTCAGGCTCTCAGTTTCCTCACGTGTAAAATGGAATGTTGGCATGGCATGCTAAGGAGAGGAGATGGAAGAATGCTGACCTTTAAGGTAAGAGACCTGGGTGTGTTTTCTGGCTCCCCACTGTGCCCTTGGCCAAGTCCTCCCAATCCCCACTTCAAGCCTCAGTCTCTTCGTCTGTAACACTGGGATGATAGATACCACCTTCTCCCCAAGGTGGTGGTGAGGACTGTCACAGGATAATGTCTGCTCAAGCCTGGCATAGCCCAGGTACTCAGGAATCACATGGAGAATCAGGGCCCCTTCTAGTTCTCTGTTCCTCCTAGGGATCATGGGGCCTGAAGGAGCTGTTTGGTTAATGAACTAAGATCACTCATCACCAAGGAAAAAAGGCCAAAGGGCCTGTGGCCCAGCTCCATACTCACGCTCAGAGCCCTTGGTGTAGAACTGCTTGACAGAGTCATAGAGGCCGATGCGGACAGAGGCGAAGCTCATCTGGCGCTGCAGGCCGGCAACCAGTCCGTTGTAGAGACTTCGGGGGCCCTCAGTGCGCACCATGGTCAGGATGGTGCCCAGCACGCCGCGGTACTGGGCACTGGCCATAGTGTGCACTGACCCTTGCCTTTCTCCTTGGATCTGCAAGGCCAAGACAGGGTGGGAAGCAGGCTGCCCTCCTCACCTCCTGCCATCCTAATGCTCCAAGGTTTGCTGTCCCAAACACCTCACTAGCCCTTGAGGAGTTTGTATCTTTGGGGAGGAAGCAGACTATACACCATCAGGACCCTCAGGCCCCATCCCCTCACCTGCAGCCGGACTTTAGCGGTATCGAGGGGAAAGGTGATGAGATCTGCAATGCAGGCGGCTGTGCCAGCCCCCAGGAACTTCACCGCTGCAGTAGGGGGCACATCTGTGGCCTTGAACCCCACCATGATGCTTTCCTGCTACCTCCAAAGAGATGGAGAAAAACTGGAGAAGGGGCACCTTCAAACAGCAACAAGACGAGATAGAGGAACTCTGCCGGAATCTAAGCCAAGGGAGGAAAGTCCCATTAGCAAGTGTCCCCAGGCCCTCCCTGCTCACCAACTCCACTTTCCCTGAGAGCACCAACTTCCTAAGCAGGACTCAGAGCAGCCCCTCTAGGGAAAATAGGAGTGAGCTCCAGAGGTACTCAAGCAGGGGCTGGTGAAGCTATCTCGGCTCAAGAAGTCCATGCTTTCGAAGGGCTACCTCCCTTTCACTACACAGAGAGTCTGGACCAGGGCTGTCCTAGTGCTGCCTCACAAAAAGTCACTGAACCAGCTCTCTCTGTCCGCTAGGAGCAGAGACTTCACTGATGATGCCCACGTTCCTGCTTCTGCAGAGCTATCTGGAGAGCGGACAAGAGTGGAGAAAGGTTTCAGTCACAGGCCTATCTTCTGGACTTCTAATAAGGAGCAGTTCCCATGAGTCTGAATTACTTAAGCCAAGAAGAAAAGGAAGGGACAAGATGACCAGTTCAATTCCTTTAGACCCATAAGTCTAATTCCTTCCCCCATCCCCCACACAGCCTAGGCTCTCTAGTCATTCCTTCAGTAAATCTGCTTTGCTGGGCACTGGTTCACTGAGACACCAGAAACAATGTCTACCCTAGAGGGTGCTTATTGTCAGGTACAGGGGTAGGCAGGTGATTCAAACTGCATTTGGGGCTTGCAGGACATACTTTCAAAATGCAGAAGAAACAACTAATTTTGTTGGAAGAGTGGTAAGGAAGTCTGGGTGATCAGAAACGACTTAGACAAGGTAACATTTAGCTGGGTCTTCAGGATGCTAGGTGATTCTTGGGGCTAAGAGTAAACACTGATTCAGGGAAAATTGCTCTCTCTCTTGTCAGTTTCCTTCTCTCTACTATAGAGAATCTACACCTTTACCACAAGAGAGGCACGGGTGGGGAGGTGTAGAGCTATGAAGAGTGATACAGGAAACCAAAAGCTCCATTTTGTTCTCAGAGATGCCCCAGGAGGAAGTGAGCCCAACACCCCAGTGGGGGAGGGTGACTTTCTCCTTCCCCTGGGTTTGCTTCTCTGACTTCATAGGAGCAGCTGCTCTGAGTCCAGCCTGATTGGCTGTCCCTGTCTCTGTGGCTCCGTAGAAAGGAACTGGCTTGTGGAAGGAGGATATGATGGGAGTCAACTGTGAACACAGAGACCCATAAAACAAACAGCTGACCCAGCTTCTTCCTCCCTGGGCTTCTCACCAGAGGTAGCTGAGGCAAACAGGGAAACCAAGAGCAACCACATTGGGATCTCCTGCAGAGCTGAGCCTGACCCTCTTTCATGTTTCCCTGGAGCCTGGCCCACGAGGCTCAGTGAAGACTGTGCTCAAATGACAGAATGGGTTGATGAAGGTGCCCCCAGCCACACTGCTCTGATGCTCCCTTTCCCCAGGAGGTACTCTGTACCCTTCCCCATCCCAACGCCCAGGGCACTCTGTTAATCCTCAGAGCAGCCCTGCGAGGTAGCAGCTCTTACTTCTGGTTGGATAAGGGAACTTAGTAAGAGCCACCTCTACAGGCTTTCAAGCTCATTATATTTGCTTTGCACTGCTGCCCAACTCCTTAGTTCTTTTCTGTTGCTTTCTCAGCCCCAGGCACTGGCAGGGCCTTTCACAAAGAAAGTTCTCTCATGCCAATTAAACAGTTCTGAGAAGCGTCAGGCAAATTGTGTTCCTTCTCTGGGCATCAGAAATATGATGATGTCAGCTGGGCTCGGTGGCTCAGCCTGTAATCCCATGCCTTGGGAGGCTGAGGTGAATGGATTGCCTGAGCCTACGGGTTCGAGACACGCCTGGGCAACTTGGCGAGACCTCATCTCTACAATAAATCAAAAAATTAGCCGAGCGTGGTAGCGCGCGCCTGTAGTTCCAGCTACTGAAGGCTGAAGCGGAAGGATCGCTGGAGCCCAGTAGGTTGAGGCTGCAGTGGCCGGAAGCATGCCGCTGCACTCCAACCTGGGCGACGGAGTGAGACTTCAACTCAAAAAAAAAAAAAAGAAACATGATGATGTCTATCACATGCCTGACTTTGAGCTGGGCTGCATGGTATTGTAAAGGCCAGACAAGAATAAGACCCTGCTGCTGCCCAGCTCACAGACAAGTATGCAGAGGCCCAGTTGCCATTTTGAATGTTGCCTCAGGTTTGCAAAAAGTCAGGTCCCTCAGAGGGGTGGGAAAGGTGGCAAAGGTCACCCACGCTAACGGGCCTACTAAGAAGAGTAGAATTCAGTTCTAGAAAGAGTTCATCATGTTTTCTAGTCCCTGGGAAATAACCAGTTTCAGAGCCCAAAAAGTACATCTGATTACTAATCTCTGTCTCAGGGACAGTTAAAAGCTAGAGTCAACAATATGAAGTTAGAACAAAAAGCTTCTGTCCTAGCTCTGCTGCTGACTCCCAGGGTGACCTGGGGCCAATCACTGTTCCGCTTGGGCCTGTTTTCTACTTTATAAAATGGATACCACCATCTTTGGCTTATCATTGGCTCAAGGGCCAGAATTGAGACCAGGGATGTATGAAAGTCCTTTGTGAACAACGAAGAGTCACTTCACTGGAGCGATGATGGTAGTTATTTTTGTTGATGTCCTGTTGACTCTCACCCTAGATCACAGGACTAGGAGGCAGCTAGGAGACCTCCCTTAGTCTGGACTCTTACCCGGCTTTGTAAGGTCTCACACTGAGGCCTTCAAGATCAAGCTTCTTTAAAGGCATCCCATTCTTCAAAGCTGCCAGTGGCTATCATGGCCCGATCCCCTTGGTTTTCCATAGAAAATGGCTGGGAGACGAAACACCTAATGATCATACTATGTGTCCTGTGGGTGAGGCAAAGGGGGAGAGTTTACAAAGGAAATCCACCTCAAAGGACCATCCCCAGCAAGGAAAAGGCCACCTGCCCAAGACACACAAGCCCACTCAGACCTGGCCTTGGAGGCAGGTGGGGAACAAGAGCCCATCTCACCCAGGGCAGCCAGGGACTAAGTGCATACACCAGGGGAAGGAAAATAAGCCCAGGAGTGCCCCTTCTTCTAGTCAGCTTAGTATCACAAATTGACCCTCTTCCAGATTTGTTTTTGTAACACTCAGTACTCTAGATAAGCATCCCCCAACACAGTCATCAGACTTTGGTGAGTGGGAGAGTTGTCAGGGGGTCATGATGGGGCAGAGATTCTCTGGGAGTTGGCTAGGGTCCAGGCTGGATTGCAAGAAGGGTGGAGGGCCTGGGACTGGGTCCTGCAGAGGCCAGAACAAGCAGCTCAAAGCCTCCTCGAGGCAGAAACAGCCACGAGGGAGGTAGAGGTCACTCTGGCTGTGCCAAAGGCCCCCACCCAAGGCGGGGCTTCGCATTGTGGCCGAAAGGAAGGAGTGGAAGGGTGGAGGCTCGAAGGGTACCCAATTGAACGCGAGAGGGAAAGAACAAAAAGGAGTCCAGAAGAGCGAGAGAGAGAGAGAGAGGAAGAAAAAGAACCAAGGACAAGGTGGTTCACAGCCGTAATCCCAGCACTTTGGGAGGCGGAGCGAGAGGACTGCCTGAGCCCACGGACTCGAGACCAGCCTGAGCAACATGGCGAGACCTCATCTCTACAATAAAATAAAAAAATTAGCCAGGCGTGGTGGCGCACGCCTGTAGTTTCAGCCATTTGGAAGGCTGAAGCGCAAGGATCGCCTGAGCCCAGCAGGTCGAGGCTGCGGTGGCTGTAAGCGTGCCACTGCACTCCAGCCTGGGCGACAGAGAAAAAGGACCAAGGACCGAACGGAAAAGTACAAGCTAGGGAACTAAAGAGCGGGAGGCGCGCGCGGCTTGGGGGCGGCGTGGGGCAGGTGTGTCGGGCGCGGGGCGGGCCCGGCCGAGGCCG